ACAGTATTGAAAGAGAATGTTACATTCATAACTTTGGGCAAATTTATAAACTGTGCCTGTTTGAAAATCATGGATCCTTGTTTTCTTATAGAGAATGTATTAAATTCTGCCTCTGTTCACCAGATATGTATTTTGAGTCAGCAGAGAGATTCATACATCTTACAGCAGTGGTATTAAAATTCTTACGTTTGCTACAGGACTTTATTTATGCTGCTTTGTGACAGGAACTACTTATTAAATTTTCTGAAATGAAAATAAAATATGGAAACAACAGGATGCATAAGTACCATTTAAGGTTAATAATTAATAGTAAAAATTGTAGTCAAATATGACAATGAAGTTTTTTTTTTTTCATGGTCTTGTTTACATTTTCTCACTTTCATCTTTTCTGTTTATTTTTGCATGGAAGACAAGTATGGTTATTTCAGTGGTAAAAATGTTTGTTAAAATTCTCAGAAATATTTAAACAAAAAAAAGGAGAAATTAACTCTAACAAGGTTAAAAAATACAAGATATTATGCTTGTTTCTTTATTTATGTATATTACGAGTATGCTATTAATATAGCACTTTATATATTTACAAGTCTGCACAGAAAACTATGCATCTCCGATCTCTGAAGGCGTATAAAATAAATATTCTGATAAATAACTCTCCCTATTTTTTTTTATACTCATCATAAGTTCCAAGTTACAAACATTTTTGATGCAATCAAACTTATACTTGTAAATTTTCTGTATAAGAACTATATTCATTTAAAGTCACATTTTGCTGAGTTCAACTTCAACAACAAAGAAAATTTTAGCTATTTCTCTTTTACTTTATCATGATCTGAAGTGGATGAGAATGAAACTTTAATACAATAGAGCACAATGGCCACAATTAATATATAGACGACAGACTCTGCCTTTTTCTCCTCAACAATATCTGTCCGTGACTTCTGCATCCTCTCATAGCGCACCTTAGCATTCTCTCTTCGTGCAAAGCTGCTTTCATAATGGAGTTTGGACCACTCATCGAAGTCATATATTGGCGTTCGTCCAGTTGCTGTTGGGGCTTTCCCTCGCTTGCTCCGGGATTCATAGAATTTAGATGAATATTCTTCTGCTTCGGCTGGTGACACAGCAACGTTCATATTCAGTAGGCCTTTGTCATACATCCTGCGCTTCTTGAGGTTGCCCAAGATCTCATAGGCTTCTGTGATCTCTCGGAACTTAAGGGCAGCATCTTCATTCCCTCTATACTGATCAGGGTGATACGTCTTGGAGAGTTTGTAGTAGGCTTTCTTTACCTGCGGTAAATTAAGGTAATTATGTTAACATAGAAGAGGCATTATGCTGGTAATCTAGAAGGTATTATTCGAGCCATAAAAACATCATAACAATGGGGATAAGTAAAATTATACATATAAATTTAACTATAACTATAATCGCAATCATAATTATAATAATAAATGATGATGATAATTATGATGATGGTGATGGTGATGAAGATGATACTAATAATAGCAACAATAATTGCAATTACTCTACTGTTAGTCTTACTCTTACTATAATCATTGTCATATTTATTATTATTATTGTGAATGTTATTAGCTTCATTATCACTGTTGCTGTTATCATTACCATTATTATCATTATCATTATTAATCATTATTATCAATAGTTATTATTATCATCATTAATTATCATCATAATTATTTATCATTAATTATTATCATCTAATTAATCATTATCATTATCATTACTAATTATCATTATCATTATCATTATTATCATTATTAAACATAATCAATCATTATCAATTATTATCACATCCTCATGCATTAGACATTATGGTAACTCTGTATATAATGTGTTTTGAACATATAATTCATATTTAACCCTGCAATTTATGCCCTCCTCTGCTATCTGGGCCAAGATTACTGAGTAGAGGGTGAGAAGAACCCATCGATAACACTATTTTTGTGATCAGTCACGTGAAGGTGTATACAGTAAAATATATTTCATAATGCGCCAAGAAATCATACATATCTATAACCTTTACGTCAAGATTACAAATCTTATGGGATGATATTTTAAAATAGCTTATAATAATTCAGTTTTGAATACTGATCTGGGTTTCCTTGAGTGCTACATGACTGACAACCAAAAAATTAGGAAGTAACTACAGGTACGGCAGAAAAGGCCCTGATTGGTGTCCTGCGCATGTGATGGCAGCGTCTTGACACAGGAAGATAATATCACTCTCAGTTGGGTCATGTTAGGTTTATACTTAATGCCCGGAAATGACATTTATGTGTTGTACATCTATCCCCGAGAAATCAGATACCGTTACTCTGAATTACTCAAATACTAAGCTAACACAATAGGTCCTTACCTGAGATTGCGTAGCCTTTGGAGTGATCTGTAGAGTTTCATAGTAACTTCTCTTCTTAGGGATGCTTGAGATCCATGCTTTCTGTTGGTTTGGGGTCCCGGGATGTAGGCCTATCCCACCCAC